TTTGTTATTATTAGAGGCTCCAGCCTCTAAGGCTATACATACAATTGCCTTGATTTTTTAAATATTCTCTCCTAGCTTGGTCCTGTACCATCAAACCGGATACTTTCTTATCTCACTCCAGTCCTATGTAGAATATCCTTCCTCTGGTGTCCTCTGCCTTGCTCTAACTTCCCCCAGTAGAGTGGCTCAGCCACCTCGTATAGAAATAGGAAATGCTTACCACAAATGCCAGCTTCACAACTTAGCCATGCTGTGTAGGAGGTACCTACACAACGATAGTAAATTTAGCCCTGACTACTATCCACCGCAGCCAGATAGGTTGCATTCTTTCTGCACGTTTTTACTATTTCATACATAGCAACTCACTAATCCTCTTCTGGAATCCAGAGTGCCAGCTTTCTTTGCCTAAACATCTTAGTCCTCATTTCTCTAGCTGCGTAATTTCTCCTGTCCTCCGGGAATTCCCTTGAGTACCACTTCTCCTGGCAACCTTCCGTCACACCTGCTCTGGATCGATCGGTGCTACTTCTGCGTATTGTGGAAGTGCTTGTAGGCCCATGTCACCCTTGAGCACTGTGAATTATTCGTGTCCTTACAACCTCTTGGAAGACACGGCAATTTTTTTTTTATCAAAATATTATTAAACACTGGATATGTGCCTGGTTATTGTGACTCAGTAAACATTCTTAGGTAAGTTAGTATTTTGAACTTATTGATGGGTCTTTACTGCATGGATATTGAGTCATACCTCATGGAAAAAATACAAACTTTGGTTATCATGAAGAACACACCTTATACCATGATTTTATTTTGTTTTATTTTACAGGTATGAGTGTTTTTTTTCCTGCGTGTATGTCTGTGCACTACGTGTGTACCTGGTGTCCACAGAAGCTAGTAAAGGGTGTCAGATCCCCTGGAACTGGAGCTGTAGATGGTTGTGAGCCTCCATGTAGGTTTTGGGAGTTGAACTAGGTTGCTCAAGGAGAGCATCCAGTGCTCTTAACTGCTGAGCATCTCTCCAGCCCTACCATATACAATGAAAATCTGCAAATGCATTAATTTGTCCACATATATTTTCATCACTTCCCACACATTCATCAACCTCTTGTATTTATTTGGTTTTGTACAAATCTGCCTTCAATAAATGGCACTTACCAAGATCCTCACGTTCTCCATGCTTCTAGACCCACCAAAAAGATTGTGGTCCTTCTTCAATCTGATCTCCAGCCTTGTTCATGAAAATAGCACTTCCTTCTTGAAATACCTTTCCCTTCTCCATGATATCCTACTTTTCCAGTTTTTCTTTTTCCCTCTTTAGTCCCTAGCTTCCTTTGCTAGCTCATTTGGTACCGCCCAGTTTTCAAATATTAGGATTCCATCAAACACACACATAGACCATGAATGCACACAAACTTTTTAAAATCTTCCCTCCTCCCTCCCTTCCTCCATCCCTCCCTCCTTCCTTCTTTTCTTTTGAGATAGTGTCTTATAAGATGGAGCTCAGACAGGCCTCAAACTCCTTCTGCAGTTGTGAATGATGCTGAACTTTGGGTGTCCCTGCCTGCATCCTCTGAGTGTCGGGATTATGTTGCACCACCACACTCAGTTTGTACAGTGCTGGTGCTAAGTAAGGGTCAAATGAAGTGCTTGTGCACACTGGCCAAGCACTCCATCCTTCAGTCATCCCTGGTCTTTATTTCTACTCTTTCCTCAGATTTGTACTATGGTGGTTTTTTTTTTGTTTGTTTGTTTTGTTTTTTAAATCTCAGAACACTTGTTCATATGGGGGGAATGTTTGACTATTTAGTTGTTTTGTTTGTTTGAGACAGGGTCTTGCTATGATGCCCAAGCTGGCTGCAAACTCACAGCAATCCTCCTGCCTCAGTCTCCCATGTTCTGGGATTACAGAGTATGTACCACTGTACCTAGTTTCATTAGTTAGCTTTTATGTGTGCCAATGTGTGTGCACACGTATACACGTGCACGTGGCCAGAGGTCAGCCTCAGGTGTCATTCCTCAGGCCCTGCCCACCTTTGTTTTTTCAGACAGTCTCTCACTGGCTCAGAATTTACCAGGTGGTCTAGGCTGGGCCACCAAACTCCAGGAATCCGCCTGTATCTGCCGCCACCTCCCCAGGGCCAGGGTTACAACTGCATACCTTCGATGCCCGCCTAACCTTTCCTTTTCTTCTTCCTCCTCTTCTTCTTTCCCTTCCTCCTGCTCCTCCTCCCTGTCCTCTGCTTCCTCCTCCACTCCCTCCTCCTCTTCCTCTTCCTTCTTCTCCTCCATTTAACTTGGGTTCTGGGATCTCACTCAGATCTTCATGCTTGTAAGGCAAGCTCTTTGCTGACTAAGCTATCTTCCCATCCTGGGAGCTATATTTAGAATCCACTTGTAGGTTATATCTACCCTATACTGCCCGAAGTTACAAAGTGTTGGATGGTGTAACATTCTCATAAAATAATGTAGACAACGGAAATGTTATCCATTCCCTCAAAGAGTGGCGTGATCAATTTAAAATCCATTTGGATTATATTTGGAAGCTCATACACAGTGTCTCTGAAGCCCAAAACTAAATTTTCTTTCTAAATATGGGCATCATGATGTGGGAGAAAATGATGTCTCAACTGAGATCCAAAGCATGTGGAAGATCTAGTCAGGCAAAGCAAGGGGGGGACAACATTTTGAGCAGATGAAAATGTGACAGAAAAATAACTTTGTGGATCTATTTTTGTGACTTCTGAGAGTCTGGAGACACTGAGTACTTATGACACTATCCCAATCACTCATCTGTCTTGTCATTAGATGCTGAGCTGTATACCAGCAGAGTACATAATAAATGCCCAATAAATGCGAGTGTAATAGGTGAGTGTGGCTAAGCAAATGAGAGAATGCTGGATACAAGACGCGGGTATAGACTAGAAAGCCGTGTTGGAGTGAAGGTAGAAAGTGCAGGCACGCTGTATTGGGAGAAGAGAGAGGAAAGCGGTATGGGAAGAGGAGGGTGAGAGAACAGCTGAAGAGACCCAGGAGCTTCGGATGCTTAGCAACATTAGAGGAATCTAGCCCTTCCTTTAAAACACTAATGAATCTTTCAGAAGTGCACACAAGGCTCTTCTGCGCTGCTAAACCTGCCTCCATGCTTTTGTTTTTCAAACCTAAAGTTTATTTTTGAAGGCTTATATTCCTAGAGAAATACAAAGGCTTTACAGGGGCATAAACTATCATCTTCTATTCAGTACCTTCTTTTGGACAATTAGAGTTATCTAAAGTCCACGTTCTCAGTGAAAATTCCTTTGCATCTTAAATCTGTCAAATTGTCTTGGTCTTTTCTCTTTGAAAGATGAAAACCTATTCCAAATGTTGTTGGATCTAAAAAAAAAAAAATTCACTTGGCACTCACCGCTGTTTTTATTATTCTGAACCATGTGATTTGATTTCAGTCAAAACAGTTTGGGGTTTGTTTGGTTGATTTTTTACGTTCTAATAGGGATGATTAACACAGGAACAATTGAAGCCTCCATTCTTTGCCCATTCTCAGCCTGGCGATGCATCTCTGGCAGAGGACAATAGTCACTCTTGTACTCAGGACTTCAGCAGGGCTGCAGAAACATTTGACTCTGACTAGATAGCTGCAACAGGCCAAGATACACGCCCAGGCGTATTTCTCAAGTTTAGCCAGAGTATCAGAATGACCTGACATGCTTCTTGTAAGAGGACCTTCCATGTGTCCGTCCTAGTTTTGGGATCAGAGTCCCCCCAGATGACTTTTATGTCCAGGGAAGAAAAAAGCTAACAACCTTTAGACTTTAGACTGTTTCTGCCTTTAGAGGGTGTAGGAAAGCCTCTAGGGGCATTCTCTCTCTCTCTCTCTCTCTCTCTCTCTCTCTCTCTCTCTCTCTCTCTCTCTCTTTTTTGAGACAGGGTTTCTCTGTCTCAGTTTTTTGAGACAGGGTTTCTCTGTGTAGCCCTAGTTATCCTGGAACTCTCTCTGTAGACCAGGCTGGCCTCGAACTTACAGAGATCTGCCTGCCCCTACCTCCCAAACTCTGGGATTAAAGGCATGTGGCTCTAGGGCTATTCTTACTACTTCTTTTTGTAAAAAAACAAAACCAAAAACCTGTAAATTGACTAATTATAGTTTATATATTTATAGGGTGCAGTGTGATGCTATGATTTTTAAATATGTAGTATAATTAAATCAAGCTAACTAACATGTTTCACTTCAAATAGTTATCATTTTATGGAGAGAACATCTGAATTGTCTCTTAGCAATTTTTAAATATGCAACATTTTATTATAAACTATATTATTATGCAATAGATTCTTTTAAAAACCTTATTCTTCCTTCTAATTGATGTATTTTGTTCCCTTTGGCCTTAATCTCCTCCATGACCACCATTGTACTCTCTGCTTCTCTGTTTGATTTTTTAATATATATATATATCAAATGTGTGGCATTTGACTTTCTGTACCTGGTTTCGTCCACTTATCTTAATTCTCCATTTCTATCCACAGTTCACAAAGAACAGATTCTGTTTATGTAACCTTGCATAATAAACTGTTGTGCTTATGTGCCAAATTTTCTTTATCCATTCAGAATTGATTCTGTATTTTGCTACTGTGAATTATGCGGTAATTAATATATGAATGCAAACCTCTTTTTAACAAGCTGATTTCAAGTCTTTTGGAAAAATACTCAAAAGTGAGATTACTGTGTCTTTTGGTAGTTATACTTTTATGGTTTTCGGATGTCGCCACAGTTTTCCATAATTATTCTGTTACTTAACATTCCCACCAATACGTGTTCAACCTATCACTTACTTAGGTAGAATAGGCCAGCCTCTATCCAAAGGTAAAGAGCAGTAGAAACTGGCCGAAGAGGAATGCTTAATGCAGTAGGTGCTGGGGAAGACAGGGCTTTAGATGAGGCTCTGGATTCTGGGGTTCTGCCACTGAACTATCTGAGCCAAACTGAGGATTCTTAACATATATTCCAGGGTATCCAACATGAAGGAGAAAGTTAAGCAAAAGAGAGAACAAAGAGAATATATCAGCACAGTCAAAGTCAAGGTGGCCACCATGAGAAAGCAGGCTCTGGAGGAGCAGTTCAGTGAATGGATTCTCAACCCCAGAGGAATGGTTCCTATAGTTGTGGTAAGAGGAAGAGTGCATGGGAAGGGAGCGGGAGGGCGGTAGAGGGAGATTGCTAGCATGCTAAGTGCAACGCCAGCGGCTCCCCTTGAAATCCTTGCTACAACTGAACTAAGTCAATTCTTGACCTATCTAATGGGAGCTTATTGATTTCTTCAATGTCTTCAATGGTTGTGAAAAATAAAATACAAATCTAGTAAGATCTTTAAAATCTTGATCCTGACAAGGGGGTCCAACCTAATCATTACTAACAGAGATGGATTTTGTGTGTATGTCTATTTGTGATATCTATGAGACCACATCTCTTAGCTGCAAAAAACAGCTACTCTCTAAGAATAAAGTATTTTCTCTTAATTGTGTAGAGATTTGAAAATATTTAATCATATTTCACTTTAAGGTAAGTGACTTTAAATGGAGCAAGGCAGAAGAGCTGTGGAGAAAATAGTATCAAAACCAAAACTTATTAAAGACTACTGTCCAAAACATAAAATAATTATTAATTAAAATTCAACAATAAAAAATTAAATAGCCCCTTTTTAAAAAAAAAAAAAAAAAAAAAAAAAAAACAGGCAGAAGCCAGACCTAGTAACACATGCTTACAATCCCAGCACTCAGGAGACTGAAATAAGAAAAAACTTTAAGTTCAAAACCAGCCTGATCTACATAGTGAGACCCTATCTGAACAACACACACACACACACACACACACACACACACACACACACACACACACACTCACACACACACACACTCTGAACAAAAGACATGACAGGCATTTCACCAAAGATACATAATATATGCAAATGGCAAATAAGCCTGTGAGGCAATGCCAACATCACACACCATTAAAGAATTGTAGGTCCTATGGGTGGTGGTGGTGGTGGTGGCGGCGGCGGCGGCGGCAACAGCAGCAGTAGCGGTGCACGCCTTTAATCCCAGCATTTAAGAGGCAGAGGCAGGTGAATCTCTGTGAGTTCAAGGCCAGCCTGGTCTACAGAACAAGTTCCAGGACAGCCAGGGCTACACAGAGAAACTCTGTCTCAAAACAAAAACAAAAAACAAAAACAAAAAAACAAAAAACAAAAAACAAACTCAGTATGGGAGGGGTTGTGCATGCTACAGTGGAACCCAGAGAACAATTTGCAGGAACCAGTTCTCTCCTTCCCCCTTGTGGGTCCTAGATCAAACTCTAGAGAAACCCTGTCTCAAAAAACAAACAAAAAGAACGGTCATTCACTGCTAGTGGGAATGCAAAACAGTACAAGCACTTTGAAAGACTGTTGCTTCTGAAACTAAATAAACTCTGGGAAGATATGCTGCATTAGCTCACCAATGTGAGGTATTGAAAGCAGTTACATTCAGAGAAACAAGAAGCAGGATGGCAGTTACGAGGGAAATGGGTAAGAGGAAGAGGAGTTGGCCTTCAATGGCTGTAGATTTTAAATTTGTGAAAAGAAAAATTCTAAGTATGTATTTCACAACAATATAAATGTACTGCACGTATATATGTACTCTTTAAAATGACTAAATTGGCACATACATGCTTATTATCTCAGAACTTGGGGAGCTGAGGCAGGAGGATTGCTATAGGTTTGAGACCAGCCTGGGGTACAGAGTTGTAAAACTCTGTCTCTAGGGCTGGAGAGATGGCTCAGCATTTAAGAGCATTCATTAGCTGCTCTTCCGGAGAACCCTGATTCAATTCCCTGCACCTACACGGTGCCTCATAATTGTCTGTGACTCCAATTCCAGAGGAGCATGCCCTCTTCTAGCCTCTGATGGCATCAGGCAAACATGTGGTGCACAGACATGCATCCAGGCAAAACACTCATACACATGAAATAAATTAAAAAAAAAAAACTCTCTTTCTAAACCAGTGGTTCTCAACCTTCCTAATGCTGCGACACTTTAATACAGTTCCTCATGTTGTGGTGACCCCCAAGCATAAAATTATTTTGTTGCTACTTCATAATTTTGCTACTGTTATAGATCATAATGTAAATATCTGTTAGGCAGGATATCTGATATGCAACCCCCAAAGGGGTCACAGCCCACAGGTTCAGACCACTGTTCTAAACAAACAAAAAACTTTAGTTGGTAATTTTTGTGTGCATTTTAAACACACAATTAAACTAAACATACTTTTAAAATGTACAATTCAATAATAGCCATCTTTTATATTTACCCAAATTACTTAGTTTCCTGTCCATACCAACTCCTGCATATTGACGTATATAGTAGCTTTACTTGTAATTGCCCACTCAAGTAAGTGACTTAGATACCCTGAAGTAAATGGAGATAAATCTACATGGTGTGTCATGCAGTGGAAGGCTAGTGATAATGGGAAGGAAATATCAAGCCAAGAAGGAAACCTAAGTGTTTGTTACAAAGTTGGAGAATCTGAACTAAAAAGACAAAATACTATGTGATTCCAATTACATGACATACTGGAAAAGTAGAAATTATGGAAAAAGTAAATAAATACTGTTGCCATCAGGGAAGGAAAAATGAATAGGTGGAACACAGGATTTTTATTTTTGTTAGCATCTAAGTAAAAGGTTTCTTTGTAGCATTTTCATATAACATACAATATTTTATATAAAATAAGTGTTATATACAATATTTATTATAGTATAACATTCTATAATAGATATTATGCTTTGTTCTTATTCATTCTTCTCTCCCAAAGCTCCCCATGTCCCCAACTCCCTCTTGCTGATCCCCTTCCTCCTCTCATACAGTCTTCCTCTCTGTTTTCGAGTCACATGTATCCATTACATACTTCTACACTGTCTCTCCTTTAGATCACTCACTCTTCTCTTGTGGTCCCCATTCTACTCTCATGACCTATACACATACAATCAAGGCTTTAGATCAAGGTTCCTCACATGAGGAAAAACACTCAGTATTTGTCTTTCTTCTTCTTCTTCTTCTTCTTCTTCTTCTTCTTCTTCTTCTTCTTCTTCTTCTTCTTCTTCTTCTTCTTCTTCTTCTTCCTCCTCCTCC